TTAGCACACAAGCTCTGACAAAGCACATTTTATTGATTGTCCAGCATCACACAGCAGTTAGCGACTAACTGGTTAAGAAAGTCAAAACTCAAGGAAGGTCAACAGAAAATCCATTATTTGTGGCTATCAGCATCCCTTGTCATGTATTATTGTATACCCTGTAAAACTCTTATATATTTACAACTACACTTGTTACAAAAATAAAGTACAATAAATCAATAATCTAGAAAATAGTTCAATTTTGGTAATTTATTCAAAACTCAAAGTGCAATTGGTTTGTTAGTGTTTCTCGTGCAATTGGTTTGTTAGTTTCTCTCCCTATGTGACCTTCATCAATCTCCATGTTCCTCTCACTGATCCTACAGATTACACAGGACAGGCCACCAGAGGACACGCTGTCCTCAGCATTTTGTCAATTGTGAGGGGATTTTTTTTGTTTTAAAGTCCAATTTGTCATCAGTCCTGTTCCAGACATGACGGGGTAGAACAGGTAATGGAGCTGTTCTAATAGTACAGATAGTCCTCTAACTCAGCGTTTCCTGGATACCAATATGCAATGAACAACCAAGCATCAAGAGTCAGACAGCTGATGTGGGATCAGCTCCTGTTTCCAAAAGAGAGAATGAAATTTGTGAGATGGGACAATATTTGTGATTCTAGATCACTCTGAAAGGTGTATGTGATCCGCTATTATTGAGCCATTGGTGACTCACCTTCACCCACACAGACTACGTACAGACTCAGACTAATCTAGAATGGAATCACTAACTTTTAGGCTTCATAAAAGGCTAAATCTATAACTGTTTGCTATAAGCCACAGTGATAATGTATTGTCACATAAGAAAAGTAATTTGCCTAACACCTTAAATTGGCTTTACACCATCTTGATTACAAACTGCACCAGAGTGAAAAACTGAGAGTTGTGAAGCTAAGGAAGGGGGACACTATTTTCTGTTTTTATTAAAGACAACAGGACATGTATCTGTATATTTTAATTATTTTAAAGCATAACAAAAACACATTTTAAGACTTTAAGTAATACGACACAAAATCTAGATAAAGTAAAATAATTTTAATAAAACATTTTATTGATTTGAATCTGATTTGCTTATTTTAAAATATCCAGGAAAGTGACAAAGCTATAAAGCAGCTTTAAATTGGCTATAAAGTATGATGGATGGTATGCAGGTCCATACAAGTTACACACTTTTAACAATGAGCAAACAGAATATCCCATCATCTCACTGTAAGGTAAGCATTTACCATGTTAACTACAATTACACCACAAATACAAAGCAGAAAATTGATGAGCAATTTGATTTCTGCTATTAAGCTTTTCTTTCTCTCATTTTCTTTCCCTCTCTAGTCTCAAAATCTACAAATGAGATCAAGGCAAAGTTGCCAACAGAGGAAAAAGACCAGTGTAATCAGTTAGGATTACGCTGCTTCTTTAGCTAAGCCATACATGGGTGAGTACGACACAAGCTCACCCTCTCGGGATGATCCCTGTGAATCCCCACTGTACATGCATGTGTAGGGCTCAAGCGGCAACCTCCAGGGCTGAAAAATTAAGCCAACGCGGAAGTGCCAATTGAGTGGCCCAATTGAGGCTGGCTCCAAAGGTGAGTCAATCCCCATAGACCCCCACGGTAAAATGCCAAACTTTACAACAGAAATGAACACCGCTTTACCGCTTGGTACAAAAAATGGTTTGGTCTCTATAGCTAATTTCCAAGTTCATGACAACTCTACGGGGGATGGAGTTTTATATAAATTCATGTAAATCATATTAAGCCTTAAAGTTACGCATAATTAAGAGAACTTTGAGTGACAGGTGCGTGCTGTCACAGGTGGTTTGCCACAGCAACCAGGCTTCGCTCAGCCAGCCTCAGCTCGACTGATGCTCCACCGCTTTGACCATTTTTGCATCGCCAGGAGTTAGGAAAGGAGCCACCCACAATGAGCCTCCCAATTGCTCTTCAGAAACCATATGGTATGAATCACCATCTCTACCTCCTATGTGGCAACAACTTTGCCAACTCCTCATTTATTCCCCCAAAATCTCTTGGTGTTCATCTCAGTTTCTCATTAGAGGGCTTGCATACAATTAGGGGCAAAGACTGCAGGAGGATAACTTGCAGTGCAGGAGGCATACATGGGTGTGAAAGGATGTTCAGTGGAAGCATTGCTTGTTTCAGCAACAGACCGTAAATAACAACAAAATATGATGTGACAATTGTCAGTTGTGGAACAACTGCTTTAATATAAGCCAAAAACAGAAATTAAGGAACACTTGTTGGGCCTAAAAGATGATGTTTTCTTTACCTTTTTGTTTCAACAAATCATTTACAGTTTAAGTTTCACTCCACATAAGTGTGTTATCAAAAACATAAGTATGACAGATTGTTTTTCAAGCTCACTTTTGGAATGGTAATACATCTTCTGTTCTTAGAAAATGTGATGATAAGCCCAAAATAAAGACTTATGGTGGATGTAAAGAGTAATCCTGCATGGCATGTCTGAAAGGTGCTTTACATTGGATAACACTTTTTTTTCAAGTGTTCTGGGTTTCAAATAATTTCAGTAATTGCAAGTTAGGTAGTCCAAGGGTAGTCGGGAGCAGTGTTACTCAGTAACTTATTACTTATAACTTATTACACTAACACGTTACTCTATAATATTACTTTCCCCAGTAACTAGTGTAATGGATTACTTTATAACAGTTATATTATTACAGCTTCTACTCCAAGTAACGCTGTGTTAATGAATGCACCATCCTTGACGTGAATGCGCGACTGCACTGCAAGTCAGTGTCACCAGACCTTATGTTGTTCAAATCAGCTGTTAGCTAAGAAGCTAAAGGAAAATGGAGAACGAGGGAGAGAGGCGTTCCTTCAACAGCTGTAAGTATCACCATTATTGATAGTGGAAGTAATATAGTAACGTAACGAGTAACGTAGAGCTGGACAATAAAACAATAAAAATAATTATTGCAATAGAAGTTTTTTCAATAACAATATAAAAAATGTTCAATAAATATTCAATAAATGTTTGAATTTATTCACTTGAATCATACACGTATTAGGACTTCATTTTTTATTGATGTTTATTTTGGTGAGGAAAAAGGACTGAAAAAAGCTTTTACTTAATTTTACTAATGCATATTCGTTAACAAAGATTTTATCATAATTGTTTTGAATGTTTTACCTCAGATTTGTGAAGTGATCCACAAGTGTTGACCATAAAGAGTTTAAACCACAATTAATCATCAGGTTTCTTCAACTTTTACTCAGGAACAAAAATCAGCCTTTAAACTAATAATAATAAATATAAATAAAATAATTATCAATATTGAAATATATGGAACTTTTTTATGACTGATTTATCATGATAACATTTTTGGCCATATCGCCCAATCCTAAAGTAACGTAACTAGTTACTGTTATCACCTAGTAATAAGTAAAGCAATCTTATTACTTTTTTAAGGAGTAATAAATAACTAGTAACTTATTAAAATTTCTGAGTAACTTGCCCACTGGTCGGGATAGACTCAGTATTGAGGTTAAGCTATAAATATTGTAGATTCAACAGGCAAAGAACCTCAGTATAGGTGTAGAACATGTAGAATACTATTTTTAAATTGAGTAGATCAAAGTAACATTGCACATGTGGAAATAGAGGCAATAGAGACCATTTCAGTTTTAAAAAAGCATTTTTTTCCATATTGCTGTTATTCATTATAGGCTGCACAGCAATCAGCAATCATGAAAGAACAATTCTCTCTGTAAACCATAAATATAGATATCTTATAGTAAGCCAGTTCACAACCAGGAGTCAATAACAGTCAGAAGCATTTGCTGAAAGATTGCTCTCTAACATACACATCTTTACACCTGCACATTTGAATCCGAACATGAACCAGATGCTGAGTTGACATACTGATTCATACTGATTATTTTCAGTCTGAAAATAATCCCAAACAGTATACTTTTTCAATGAAAAACAATCCAACACAATTTAATGTTCTGAACCTGCTTCTTTTTTTGGGATGCGAGCAGCTCAAGATTGACAACAAACATAGATGTGCTTCAAGCTCCAAGTTAGCTCATTGAACCAGTATCCAGGGCAGGCAGAGCACACACCTCATTCATGGATTTTTGGCACATCCAGCTAATTATCACGGGTCACACTGTAAACAGCTCCCCATATCACTACAACTTCATCTGTCCATTCTTTACACTGAAAGTGTGCAAAACATTGGACACAAAACGTCCAAGGACCTCAAGTATCAATGAGTTAAACAACAGGGATACTTCGTTTTAATTCAAACATCAGAATAAGAGTGAAATGTAACTAATTATGACGATTCACAATCCTCTCTGATGTCGTTTCCACTGACGCTATATCAACACAAGAGGTTATTATGAGGACACAGTTGTATCAAATTTGGCTCCATCATGTGTAAAGTTTGGGAACACGTGCAGCACACCGCTGGTCAGCGCCCAGGATAAACAGAGGCTTTCAAAATATTTAGATATGACCTCACACCTATGCACGCGCGCGCGCGCACACACACACACACACACAGGCAAACAGTAACTTGGCACGCTAAGTGCACCATCCATTTGCTTATCAGCAGCACAAACACAGGGCGCAGCACAATGATGAGGACCAAATTAACAGCAGTGTCAGAGGACGTTGAATTTCAAAACACCATAAAAGGCGTAAATCACTAAATGACTGCACTAGTAATGAGTCTAGTCATGAGTAAGCCTTTGGAGCAAACAAATCATTTGTATCATAATGATAAAGCTTGTTATTACAAGCTATATTATCTCAGTTGGCCCGTTTTAATGAAGGAACCGCGCGTAAAATTGTCACACATGCCATCGGCTGAAGAGAGGAGTATAGGTCGGCAGTTGTTGAAAGGTCATAAGCAAAGCAATAACAAAACATTTAATATGATTTGGTTCAGACGTCCAATGTTGGACATGTCTTACCTGGTCCCGCGGAATGCAAGGCAGCGAAGTCCTGCGGTGGGACTTGCTGTTGCTCTGACTGTGAGCCATCATTTCCGAGGCCGCTATGGAGCTGGACCTCCGTCTCCTTTTGAAGACAGGGATGTCCTCCTCCTTCGCCCCGGTCACAGAGCCACAGCACCCCGTCCCGCTGGTCCCTGGGGCCGGCAGGAGCCGGTCAGCATACCTCGCAAGCAAAACCCCCAGCAGTCCCAGCAGGTAGGCCAGGTAGGGTCTCCAGCTGGCCCGGACTCGGCTCAGAGAGACGAGGGAGACGGCCCTGATGACGCTAATGAAGAGGAGGATGGACACTCCCTGACGCAGCCGGACGACCAGCAGAGCCCCGCTACCCAGGCAGCCGAGGACAACCAGGGTTGCGGGCAACGACAGCAGCTGTTCCTCGGCGCCGCGCAGGAGGGACTGCGCCGCGGCTTCGCCCAAGTGGCACAGCGTTAACAAAAAAACCGCGGTACGGGTGAGCACCCTGCAGCGAATCAGATACAGTCCGACCCAGAAGAAGGCACATACGAGTGTAAAAACGGGGGAGATGCAGTAAGACGCAGTCAGAAGCAGCTCCACAGCGCAGCCCGCCGCGAAATGAGGACGGGAGCCGCTGCTATTTCCTTTGCTGCTGCTGCCTGCATCCCAGTCGACCAATCTGAGCAGCAGAGCGAGGATAACGGAGACGGAGACAACGTAGACCGCAGACGACACTCCTCGGCAAGTCCATGTCACGGCGAGTCTCAGCCACGACTGGCTCCGTGCGTCCTGGTACAACGGGGTGACACATGTCCTCACGTAGCCGTTGCGCTCCAACGCTGCCCGGGGATATTTTTCATGAGCGCTTCTTGATGAACCTCTGTCGCTGTCTGCCTCCAAGGCCATCGCTATCAAGTCAAGCGGAATGCTGCACTGACCGACCGGGAAAATATTAGATTAAGATTTAGTCTGTGTGTGTGTTTATCTCAGTTTTCATTTTACACCTGTAATTCCCATGGTAATGCATGTTCTCTGCGCGCAGTTGACACCAAACTATTGATCAGTTTCTCGCCTCCGAAACAAAAGTTGAATAGCTAATGCATATGATTTAAAAACTGCCAACTTATGGGATTCACAACTTTTCTTTCAGTTTTGTGGTTCAGAACTTCCCCGTGACATTTCGTCCACTATTGAGTGGCCCCTAGTAGTCAACCAGTGAACCAAAAAAAGCAACCCCTGGCGTTTCACACATCTAGGCCACTGCCTCGACTCCCCCACATAGTCTCTCTCACCCTCTCTCTCTTTCTCTCCCCTCCCACTAGACACTATCCCTGTTTTGTGCCGCTTCGGTGATTCCTCCGTCACGTTTCAGCTTTCCCACTGTTTCTGTTCATTCTGCAGGCTGCAGTCCGCCCATGGATGTGACTCAGTTCGCTGTGGATGGATGCCATGTTTACATGAAGATTTCCTGGCTTGTTCTGGGAGATCTGAGCAGCCCATTATGAGAATTAACTACAGTTATCCTGTAATACATTTTAGAGTTACTGGAGTAACTCTAAAATGTATGACAGGAAACCAAAAAGGATATCATACTTGTACTACATGACTTTAACTATGTCATTTATCAGTCTAAGATCACTCAAAACAAAGACAGCTTACTAGAAACCCCTGTAATGAATTTATTATTTGCCAAGTGTCTTCACCGCCAGAGGAAGCAACTTATTCCACTTTCATGCCTTCAGTGGTCTTTTTCATGGACAAAAAACAGACACACCCTAAAATGAAAAGCACAATCCTACATACAACAAAAAGCAGCATTTAGCTCTAGCAATAATCATCTTGCTACCCATGATTTTTTTTTGCTGGATTAAAATCCTAAATCACATCCTCCTCTGTCTCCTGTGTGGTAGACTGGCCAAGGACAAGTTAGAAGCCTTCACCTGTTTGCCCTACATTTTATGAGGATTTAAGAGGATGCGCTGCAATCATGTAAAGCCATTTCAAGTCTGTCATCTCTTTCTGTAGTGGGTATTAGTTCAACTAAATCATATAAACTGGTTCTGAAAAAGGAAAGGTATTACAATGTTTATGTAATGTTGTGTTGTCATGCCTGCTGATACTAAAATGCTGCAAATGGTTGAGAAAGCTGCCCGTTGACCACATTATACCAATTTTAACATCCTGTCTTTGGCTCCGTATCCATATCAGATCACAAGGCACTTTCCCTTAGTTGATTATTCTTTTATTACCCGTTGCCATTATTCTTCCAGGCGTGTTGGTCTATGAATCTATTAAGCCTAGTATTTATAGTCCATGTTTGTCCTGGAGATGTGAATGCTGTACTCAAGCCCACTGCATCTCTCTTACCCTCTGTTTGTCTGTGTTCCACATCCAAGCTGTGTGCCTATCTCTTTTTACTCAGGCTTCTCCGTGCTGAACTATCAGCCATCCTGGGACCTCTCTCTCTCTCCCCTGGCTGTCGATGCCTCTCTCCAGATGTTCTGGATGTCCATACTGCAATTTTATAACACTAATCTATTCTATACACACTACATCTATAGCATGTCTTACCCTCCGTGCAGAGGGATCTGTCCTCTGTTGCAGATTTGTGATATTAGGATATATAAATGAAATTGACTTGACTTTGACAAATGTTGTATTATGTCTGAGTTGCTTAAGTCAAAAACATCTGTCAAAACAGCAGCCTAACACAAGTTTGTTTTGTGTAGATATGCATCAGAAATGTATGAGGTCTGTCCTTTCCCCCATTGGTAGTTTGAGTTATGATGTAACATAAGAACAGCGTTTAATTATAGTGGTGTTACGCAACATGGGTCAGTACAATCAGTTGAGTGCAATCAGGGCATAAATCTCATGTTTTAGTCATCCCATCACAATGGACAGTGGACATTTGCCAGTACAAATTGTTCATACTTATTCAAACTCTGTAGAAACCTAGTTTGGATGTCAGAGGGGCTCAGAGAGGAACATTTAATGCACAGGAGGCCAAATAAGTTTTAGCTTTCTTTTGTTATATTTTTTTATACTGGATGACAACCTTGCAATGTGACAAATTACTTTAATGTCACTGTCAAAAATTTTGGACTCAAAATGAATGGTGACATGGTCCTGTGCATCATGACCCACAGGTGCAATAAAGGAGCGGACTCGGTGTTGCCCAGCTCCTGCAGGGTTCAGCTCTGTCTTTGCTCTACATCAACACAACACACTGTCACAAATCACATTTTAGCAAAGGTAGCCATGATAATAACATTCTCTGACCTTTGCCATCAGTGATGTTGTCCAGACGCAGTTCTGTACTGAGGAAGTGTTGTAACAGTGTCATCTATCATTACGCAATGCTTGAATAGAACTGGGTTTGAGTTTGTGTGTGGATTTCATCAGGTTGTATATTTGTGGTTGCTCACACTTATACATCCTGATAGTATATATTTATACTGACATCATGTGTAAATGATGTTCTGACCTGTCAGACTGGATGACAGCATTTGCTCACAAAATGTTCCTTTAAGCTGGTAAAATGTCTGTGGTATGTAACAGTGCATACTGTACGCTGCAGCTGTACAAGCTCACTAAAAGACTTGCAGAAATATAATTAAATGTGTGTATTATGGGTCTGAGAGGTTTGATTTTATCCAAAGTGTTGCTGTCTTCTCAAATATTAATTTACCTATTTTTACGATGTCTGTTTTCATTGTGTCTGTTGCTGATACACACAGCCAATATCAAGCTACAGAGAACTTTTAAGACACATTTGTTCATGTATCATGTGTTACAAGCTAAATACAGAATGTACAAGAAGTTTTATTAAAAAATCTCTCTTCTTGAACTCACAGGTGTCACAGATTTATTTAATCAAATGTGATTTGGGGTGAGTAGCTAACCTCGGCCTTCGTGTAAAACCACACTTGATCTTTAAATTTAGCATCAAATTTTTCTTTACCAATTAATGATCTGTAAAGTGAAGTATAATTAGTCAGGAAATGAACATTTGTACTGATACTGACGGACAGTGTTCATCATGTCTATCTCCGTACAATAATAGTGGGATTTCTATACATTCAACAACAAAGAAATCTCCATCCATCCATCATCAACCGCTTATCCTGCGTACAAGGTCGCGGGGTGGCTGGAGCCAATCCCAGCTGACATCGGGCACAAGGCAGGGTACACCCTGGACAGATCAACAAAGAAATCTCATGGATGTTTAATTAGAACACTAATGCTACTTCTGACAGCGGAAGTCGGCCAATGGCAGGCTTATAAAAGTTCAGTTCAGTTATGATCCAAAGAATATTTTCACCTTATTAACCCAGACATTATATGCTGCGTTCAATAATTAGACCCCCCCAAAATAAAACTCTGTATTTTGGACTATTTTTTAGACACATGGCTCATATGTATTTTAACACAGTTAGAAGTACACCAGTTGGAAACGTGAGCCCGAATTGTACTATAACAGTCAAACACTGCAAGTTTCCAAATTATGGGGTGACTCATAACAGTTTTTTTTTGTTTGTTTTGTTATGGTTGATTAATTAGCTTTGTCATGGTTGACTTAGACCTCTGGGCTGTGAAGATTTGGCCGTGCACAGAGAGAGATGCAGTGTTACACATTTTAAGAAACTAAAAATACCCTCCGCGCCACACAGAAGGACACAGAGTGGAATGTTCCAGGGTCGTGGGCCAGTTCTAATCAAGAGTATAGTTTACAGTCTCGACCTACTGTATGTGTTCTTTAATAAACATATGCTGTTTAGACATTATAGAATGTTGCCATAACCTTTTTGGATAATGGCACGTAAAACTATTCATCATGTTCTGACACACTGGGCCGGAGAGATGTCATTGGCGAGTTGTTTTGGCTGCCAGAGACAAGACTGCCTGTGCTTGTGCCTGCTGAAGGAGAACGCAGGCTATGCTGCTGCCACTGTATGTGCGTACATATACCACTGACTCTGTGCGTTTGTAAATGTGTCTCTAGGGGCTGTGCAGCAGTGAGATGTATGTTTTCCCTTCTTCCCTTAGCCTTTCCGTGTTTGGCTAAACACCAGAAATGTTATTTGAAGGTGCTGCTCTGAGCCTTTCCTGCATCGGGTTGGGAACTCTTTGAGTGAGCCTGTGGCACTCACTCCCCGACTCCAACAGTGACTGAGGAGAGCCTGTATTCCAAGGACCCGATACTCACTGCTCTATACAAAGAGCACCAAATTAGTGATCCCTGCAGAAGCAGAGTTTGATCATATGAGAGGTTCAGAAAGAATCAGCTCTCACATGAGGCTTATAATACTTATAATATGGGCAAAAAAGATGTATGGAAGTGGGAGAAAAACATTGACATATATGGACTACTATCATATATCTCTATAAGTTCTGCTCTAAAATTTTAAAGGAGATGTACATCATTTTGGGCAACTTCCTGAGCACTCATTTTCTAGGCAGTTGCATTAGTTAAATATACATAGTCAATAAGATGAGCTATGCGGTGTGTCTGTTAACAAAATTCTGATCAGCTGAAAACAGAAAAGACAATGCATGTACAAGCAACATTTTTTTTTGTTGTTAACCTTTATGCTGTTCCAGTCATTTTACTACTTCATTGCTTTTATTCTTTATTATTTCGATCATGATCAGAGTGACTAACTGAGCCATCTAGGCAAGAAGTGCGCTAATATTTCATGTCATCTTCCCTTTTGGCTCGACACCCAACTGTGTTATGATGGTGGTCACTTGCTTGTAGCACCATCTGCCATCTCTGAGCATGTGAAAATGCACGGGATACAAAACTGACAGCATGAGGAATGTCTGGAGAGCCAGAAATCTGTTGATCGTGAAAACATTATTCTTTGCTTTGGAGAGTAAACATGTCAGATGACCAGTGTTAA